AATTTGTAAACTTTGCTCTTCGACTGGAACCGCACGCTTTAGCGTTTTTCGTATAACTGAGCTGCCAAACGTTCGAGCTGCACTCTTTTGTTCAGCTACTTGAAAAAGCTTTTGCGCTGAACAAAAGACTTTAAAAACGAACTTGAAATCGTAGCTGAAAAACAGCTTTTATGTGTATGGGAGAGAGAGTGAGAGGGAGAGACAGATAGCAATAGACATCAATTCGTTTAGCTCTGCTGTAGTTTTATTATTTATGCATCAGTTAAAGAGTATATAGTTGCTTAGATCTTGTTGAAGGCAGCAATATCGACGGACTGCACGTAGTCCTCAAACTCCTCAATCTTCTCCTGCAGCAAATCAATGGAGACCTTGTCGTCTTCGATGACGCACATAATCTGCAACTTGTTGATGCCATAACCAACGGGCACCAATTTGGATGCGCCCCACAAAAGACCGTCCATTTCGATGGTGCGGACTTTGTTTTCCATCTCCTTCATGTCGGTCTCATCATCCCATGGCTTCACGTCGAGCAGTACAGACGACTTGGCAATCAGAGCAGGTTTCTTCGACTTCTTGGCAGCATAGGCGGCAACACGTTCGGCCTTAATGCGCTCGGCCTCGGCATCGTCCTCATCATCAGAGCCGAATAGATCAACATCGTCATCGTCATCGGCAGCTGGCTTAGCGGGAGCATCAACTGTGGGTTTGCCTCCAGTCAATTGGGGCAGTGGAGCACCCGCCCAGGCAGAACGCTCACTTGCCTCATAGGAGGCRATGTGACGGTACCAGCGAGCAATATTAGCATAGCTGGCAGCTGGTGCCTTGCCCAGGGCATCAAACACAGATACATCGGCTTTGGTAGCGGTGTAACTGCAACAAAAAACACAAATTCATTTCAATTAGAAATATGCCGACGTGTTTGTCGTGCCTAACCTCACATTTGGCAGGCACATGCGGCTCATTACTTACCCGCTGATGTAGCTGTTGTTGGCCAGGAAGTCGTTCAACTCCTTGAGGCCTTGTGGGGTCTTAACATCACCGAATGCCATTTTAAATGCGATTATTTTTAGTGTAATTCACGTTTAAATCAAATGTGTCGTGCGCTGAGCTGYGTCTACGCTGGAAAAGTCTGAGCGAAAGAGCTGGTGATGTGCAAGAGCGGCAATACTTTTGCACAGATATCGAATACAGTATATCGATATGTATGACACACTGTGCAGCACTGCAACATAGCCACTCAGCTGCTTCCTGTTAGCTCTGCTAGTCGTCTATGTAATTGGCTTAATTGTTAAAATTGTGTTAAGCAAAATTTGTTGAATATAAATCAAAACTAATGAGCGCTGGTGTTAAAGTCCAAAACAAAGCAACATTAGCAATAGGTAATTCAACAAAGCGCTTCCATTGGCAGCACACACTCATATCTGGTTGATGTTTTGAAACACCCTGTACGTGACGCAGTTACACAACGTCAAGAGAAATTCTCTAAATTCTCAGTCTGGACGAGTAGTAGGCCTCAGGGCCAACGATAGGGGCACGGATACAACAACAATAAGCACACAATTAGAGCTCTGCGACAATCGTTCAGCAGGTAAMGATCGAATAATCGGCTCTATTTATAGCATGGCARTATGCATCTAATTGATTTTTGTGTTCGGCTMTCTCCTTTGTCATTTTTTCAATGTGGTTCAGGGCCGCAACGATTTTCACTTTCTTTACTTGGCAGAGCTTCTAGCAGTCCGTTGTAGAGTATTCCCGACATGGTAGTCACTGCGTCCACTTGCTGCACGGAAACGGTTTTCGATTACAGCTGGATCCATGTCGTTTCTGCCTATTGGAATCGTTATCCCAATCCGTCAAGGTACGATGTCTCTATCAATTAATGGTCCTTAATATATCTAACCATCGCATTTCCCTCCATTTCAGCACTCATGTCCTTACCGAGGACACTATTAGGCGTGAAGTGCGGGATGGAAAATTATATTCACGCCGCTTGTTATCGAAGACGAATCCCGTGCCCAAGTGGGGGGCACGATTTTACAACAATTTGCCGGTGAAGATTGTTGAGGACTCGGTGCTGGACCCCGTGAAAAAGACATTTACAACATTTACCCGCAATCTGGGCATGAAAAAGATAATGGTAAGTAGACTTTGTACCGCACGCGCTTGCTCGTGCACAGGGTGACACAAGCTAACATACCGAACATTCCAGAAAGTGGATGAAATTGTAGTGTACAGCGAACAAAAGGACGGACGCACTTTGGCGGTCCGGAGAGCATACATTAGCTCTCAAGTATTTGGCTTCTCCCGTGCAATACGCGCCTTTGGCATTGAACGCTTCAAATCTAACGGCCACAAAGCCTCAAATGGCTTTAACTACGTGCTGCGACGCATGTTCCCGCAGAATCAATTGGCAGCGTCGTCGCCA